CGAGGACCTAGAGCCTCAGGAGCACAACGAAGCATCAGTCCACGCACCAGAACCACAGACCCCGGCCTTGGCCCCGGCCCCAGTCACTCCGGAGCCCCAGGCGTTGCCACCGCAGGAAATGCTGCCACCAACCTCCCCCCCCCGGCCTCAAGTAGCAGCCCCGAACAGCACCCCAGAACTCCGCCGTTCCAAGAGGCCCAGGAAGGCTCCCGCATACCTCCAGGACTTTGTATGTGGGTAGTTTGGACTATGGGGGGAGGGGTGTAATGTACTGCCGCCATTACCACATGCAAGGTATTCAGCCTGACATGCCTGGACTTGCCCGGGCTGGCCAGGCACAGTTTAGCTGTAGCATCAGCCGAAAGACAAAGGATCCGAAGGATCCTAGCCGGCCCAATCAAAAGGGCTAGCTTTCCAGCCGGGAGACCAATGGTCACCCGGTTACTGTAAATAGCCTATCGGGAGTAGGGGGTGTGTTTAGGTGTACTGGTGGCGGGTTTTCTGAACGCATATATACCGGCCGGCAAGCTGGTTTTCTTTGTCTTGTTCTGATCTAATAAAGTACTCTTTGCTGAATCACTCAACGTCTCGAGTACTTTTCACATTTGAACCTGATTGGCCGCTTAAGTCTTGGACTTCAATCCTTGTTCAAGACGAAGCTTAACATAGCTTCCCAATTAGGTGTTTCACAATACACTTTATGTATTCCTGGCAGCTTCAGAATACACTACATGCATAACCCAAAAGAGCTAGAACTTCTGCCTGCCAGACAATCTTAGGATCTCCTGGCTATACTACACACAATGCCATAATGATAACGATAATAATTTATCCTTTACCCTGCATGCCGGGCCTATGTTTGCTTACTCTGTTGTTACCATCTCATCCATGCAGGTGAAAGGGTCATACTGTCACTTTGTTCAGCCAGGTGTGCGAATGTGGGGTGGGGGAGAAGGATGAGCAAGGATTACATTTCAAAAGCTATCAGAGCGTGCTGTTAGTTTAAAAACAAAACAGAGAATAACAGAAGCTCAGTTGAACATCTGAAAGCATTGGAGGCTTGTCAGGACTTAGGAAGGAGGGACCCCTGAATCGCAGGGCTGCCTGCACTGCCGTCCTGAACAGGGTTACACCCTTCTCAGTCCATTGAACTGCTAATCTCTGTTGACTGATCCCTTGTAAGATCCAGCCATTCAAAGAGCCACCAATGTACAGTTGCCACAGTAGCCACACCCCATCCTTTTGAGTGCGAGGTAAGAAAGATACCCGACCAAGCCCACTGGCATCCAAGCGCAACAAATGCTCAAGCAGCCTTTCGAGAAGGTTGGGTGACTGCCTTTCTCCTCTCTCCCAGTCCTAACATGACTTTAATCCAATTCTGTTTTGATTTGTTTCTGAGGTGAATTAAGTACACTTTAGCATGAACATTATTGTTAGGAGGTGACTCAGATTTCTAAGAACGGTGCTTCCCAGAAAACAATTCCAAGTGCTTGCTGGTTCTATAAAGAAATTGCCAGCAGTGCAGCTCCAAATAAAAAAAAACCACCACCCAACAAACAGAACACGACCCACATAATACCTTTTAATAGGTCTACCCAAATGAAGCATTAACAGTGTGTGAACATTCCGGTTCTCTATAACCCTTCTTCAGGTTGGAAGTTACAGTAAAATAAAATACAATAGGTAAAGAGAAATTCTTCAGGACATTCTCATATGGGGACATTTTCCTTTCCCTGTTTTTTAAATCGTAATATTCAACCTGAAGAAGAGTTCTGCAGTACTCGAAAGCTTGCACACTATTATGTGTTGTCTGGGTGTTAATAAAAGATACTATATGGATTGTGTTCTGAGGTTTTGGATAGTTAATAAAAGGTATTATGTGGATTGTGTTTGAGGATTTTGGATGGTTAATAAAAGCTATTATATGGATTGTGTTTCGGGTTTTTGAATGGCTAATAAAAGGAATTAGGTGGATTGTGTTCTGGGTTTTTGGATAATAAAAGGTATTGTGTGGACTGTGTTCTTGGCTTTGGGATAGTATGTGAGAAGGAGAAGGAGAAGGAGAAGGAGAAGGAGAAGAAGAAGGAGAAGAAGGAGAAGAAGGAGAAGAAGAAGAAGAAGAAGAAGAAGAAGAAGAAGAAGAAGAAGAAGAAGAAGAAGAAGAAGAAGAAGAAGAAGACTGGATTTATACCCCACCCTTCACTCAGAGTGTGCAAATGGCATGAAGAAGAGGGGGCTTAAGCCCTCTGCCATTTCCCCAAACTGAAATGGACCCAAAGGAACTGCTCTTTACCCTGTTTGTGAAATTGACATGCAAACCAAGCAGGGTTTTAATGCTGTAAATATATAAATGCAGCCAGTGGGTAGACATGTAGCCCATCAGTTGATCTTAGTTTCTGTAACTGGGCAAATGGTTGCTCCGGAGGGCCATTTCAGGCTTGGAAAACAGTGCAGGAGAGAAACCCCTTCTCCCTGTATGCGGTGATCCTGCTCTAAATCAGGTCCCCTGAGAATCGAATTTTCAACAGGGTACTCTCAGCACACATCTGCTTGACAGGACCCAGATAAGTGTGGGAATGGACTTGGGAAGAAGAGGAGATTTGATTTATACCCCACTCTTCACTACCCGAAGGAGTCTCAGAGCAGTTTACTATCTCCCTCCCCACAACAGACACCCTCTGTGAGGTAGGTGGGGCTGAGAGAGCACTGAGAGAACAGCTCAGAAAGAACTTGTAACTGACCCAAGGTCACATCAGTAGCTGCATGTGAAGGAGTGGGGAATCAAACCCAGTTCTCCCAGATTAGAGTCTGCACTCCTAACTACTACACCAAACTGGCTCTCAGTGTATTGTGTAGTTAGGACCTAAAAGTTACGAAGCTGAATGGTATTACTCTGATGCTTTTGCTGTTGTTGTTTTTCTATTGCTGCTTTTAATTATTTTTATTGTTTCTTCTGTGTAGTTTTTTGGGCTTCACATTTTCTATCATTGTTGTTTTTACATTCACTGAATGTTGTAAGCTGCCTTGGGGATATTTTATTGCGTGAGCATGCTATAAGTATTTTAAGCAAACAAATAAATGTTTGCCTTGTCCAAATTGGAGGGAGCAACAACTCTGTGTGTACTTTCCTAGAGGGCATTCAACACGCTGCCTTCAGATATAGAAGCATATGAGTTGGTGGGAAGGGAGATGCAAAGAAGGGTCTTTTGGTAGAAAGGAGAGAAGTGAGAACAGGAGGACCTACCAAGTGGCAGAATTTTCAGGTTGGAGTGCTTGGAAGCCATATTTCTCAATTCCTGCAAGAAAGTAATTGTAATTTATAAAATGCTTTAGAGTGTACTATGCAGTTCACATGCATTGTTTTCTCATAATCCTTAAAGCAATACTGTCAGGTAGGTCAGAATCACTTCTGCCCTCATATTGCAGATGTGCGGGGGGAGGCTTCTCCCATATGGCAATGATTCTCTGTGTAGCTCACACTGATGCTAATTTGCAGTGGCAATGGAGAATCTGTGTGGCAGTTTCACTCACACTTTCATTGTTTCAGCTGCCGATGACTACCATTTCTCCACCACCACCACCACTACCACTGGGAAGCTTTCTACAAAAACCAGTACTTAGTATATTGCTATAGCATTATAATGATTTGTCTTCTAGTTCTTTTGAATTCCTAGCTTTTGAGTTTTTAAGTGTGTGCGCTTTTTTGTTGATGACATATTATACAACAAAATGTGCTAGAAACTCTTTTTAGAAATGATAGCTGGGATTCAGAGGAAACAGTAGATAGATTGTCATAATGCTATAGCGCTATATCAAGTATCCCTTTTTAAGAAGTCCAAAAAAGTTTTCTTGTGGCATGGGGAGGGTGGGTGGAATGGAGGCTATCAGGGCTGAAGCAAGGGAAATTCTGTTAATGTGGGTGGGACCTCCAAAAATGTGCACCTTCCTGTCCACACAGCATGCAAAAGTGCAATCTCTGCAGCCTTTCCCAAACTATTGTATCTAACTAGGTTTGGGAAAGATTCTAGAAAAGCAGGGGAATCCCAGAAAGTGGCTGGTTAGGGTACAACGTTGTATGGTGGGCTCCAGATAAAAAAACCTCAAAACCCTGATACAGTTTGGATGCCAAATCAGAGCAAAAGCTTCTTGTGAAAACAACCAGAATAGCCAGTCAAAATAAACTGGTGACTACTATCCGGTGAAATCTTTAGGCTAGCCTGTAAACGGAGTCAGATAGCAACTTAGCCTGGTACTGATGAAAGGCAAAAATACATCCATGTAATTCAATGCAAACAATATTCACAGCAGCCGTGCAACTTCCACACAGGAGTTTGCCCCATGCTTTCCCTTCCCACATGCCATTTCCCCACCACCACCAGCAGGCTTTTCGCAAGTTCTTTTTGCTATCAATAGTTGGGATATGACTATAGTGTGCTAGCACTATAGTCATGTCCCAACTATCAGTCATTCTGTGAAAAGGCAAAAAGTTCCACTGGCGGGGGGGGTGGCAGCAAATGGAGAAGTGGCACTAGCTGTGTGACCCTTCCAGACTTTCTCCAAACCTATTCTGGATATGATCTTTTAAGAACGACCATACCAACGATGGTTTTGGAAAAGCTGCAATGGGGCTGGAGAAAACTCAAAGGGGGGGCAACCAGACAACAATGTCACACAGACCCCCTCCAAAAAAAACCCCAGAAGTCTGGCCGGCAAAGAAAGCCATGAGTTCCATGTGAAAGCAACCACAAGGGATACGAAAACATTTGTTTCATTTAAACTTTTGTAAAACTGGGCAAAGTATCATAGATTTCCCCCCTCCCTTAGATCTTGGGATCACGCAAATAAATTGATTGATAGTGGCCGGGATCTAACCACACAGCACAGAAAACTTAAGCCCTCTTAAGTTTTCTTAAGAGGAGGTCCAAAGTTTGCAGATTCCTTCCTGTCACTGCAACCTGCTTAGACCCCTGAAATTTTGTTCTGGGATGCCTGTTAACCATCAGGAACAATATATTGGGGGTCTGCAGTGGACGGGGGGAATAAGCAAAAATTGCTGCCCCTTCTTAATAAAACTTAGGTTTTCTTAATGCAGTTGGATGCAGGCCATTAGCTTCAGCACGGGCCAAATAAAAACTATTTTCTTTCATACAGCACATGATTTACTTTCAGAATTCATTGCAATAAGATGCTCAGGCTTTTAAAGGGGGATTTGACATCTTAATGGAGCAGGATAGCTATGACGGTTAAATCAAACCTCTTTATCCATGCTGGAAAACAGAAGTTGCTGGGGGGAGGGCAAAACAGGGGGAGGGCGGTTGATATTTTGCCTGACTTGTGGGCTTCCTGGAGGTATGTGGTAGCCCGGCCACTGGTTTGCATCAGCTTCATAAGCAGGCATCCTCTAGTGCACGCTGTTCATGAAAAACCTGCAATCCACTTTGAGTGCAGAAGCCAGAGTTACATAAGTTTAAATCCTGGGCCTCCTCCTTAGGAGATATTTGCACTGTTGGAAACAGTTTGCTGCTGTGAAGCCAACATCCCAGCAGTGCCAAGGGAGGTCTTTTTGACCTGCTGGACTTTCTACCTTCCAGGTTTGTTAAGCAAGAGCCACAACTCACCTGTCCTTTCGGCCCTTCTGGGTCACGGCACGTTGCAAACACCATCTTGGGGGGATTTGGTTGCTTAAGAAATCGTGTCACCAATTCCAGGCCGATGCCACGGTTTGCCCCTGTCACCAGGACAGTGCAACACTGAGGTCCCGCCATGCCTTCTTTGAAACCACGGCCCCGTTTCTGCTCTTGCTGGTCCCACTGTCTCTCACACCAAGGCTTCTTTCCAAGTGGGGCTGCAGTCACTTCCTCACTCAGCTTGGCTGAAGCTCCCGCCTTCTTTTCCACTCGTGGTACAGAAATATCATGTTCTTTGTTATGAAAGCTCAGCCCATCCTTGCTAGGAAACAGCTGGGGAGATTGGCAACGCAAAATAAATAGCCTGAAGTGTTCTCTAGCGCAGAGGGTGGGACTTGCATTTTCCACGCTGAACTGCCAAGCAACTGGATAAAGACCGTCTTTGTGATTTCTGGGGGGTCACCAGCCATCAAGGACTGTCACAGACCTTGCCTTCCTTCGAGGTGTCCAATGAAGGTGTTCGCATGTTTGCTGCATGCTCTTGGCCAGATATACTGAAGCGAGATGAGGAGCCTAAAACTTTCCATATGTTAAATAGTGATGCATTTAACTGAGCGTGCACAAAATAGTGTGTGTGAAATGTCATTCTTTCCTCTCCTCCAAACAGGAAATTGGAATTTACAGAGCTGAGCATCTGTTCAGCAAGAGGGCTCCTCAATGTCTATGGATCTGGGCCTATTTAAATACCACATTTTTATTTGTTTGTTTGCTTATTTACACTTTTTCAAGGCAGGTTCCACAAAATGAGTCAATCCGATTAACAGGATGGGACATTCAATAAACAATGAAATACAATGAGGATGCTAGAAGTCTGGAACCAGCCAGAAATCTAAAAAATAGAACTGAAGCAAAGTAGTCACATGATACGTTAAACAATGCAAAAGCTGCATAGTGAGTTCCTACTTAGAGCAAGCTATACATAGTAGCTTAAACCACAGTCCTGAATAATTTATCCAAGTCATGTTGTAAACCATTTTGTACAGTGCAAGCCTATTACCTGTGTAGTTTCAGGTTTCCATTGTTTGTGGGAAGCCAGGAGAGTGGGAGCGTTCCTGACCTCCTCAGACAGGCCGTTTCATAAGATGAGGGCCACAACAGAGACAGCACATGCATGGGCAGTTGCTGATTTTGCCCATGTGCAGGTTGACATCTGTAGAAGAGCCTTCTCAAATGAGCAAAGCTGTCATGGTCCAGAAGAAGGAGGAGGAGGAGATTGGTTCCCCCCCCCTACCTTCACTACCTGAAGGTGTCTCAGAGCAGCATACAGTCTCCTTTCCCTTCCCCTCCCCACAACAAACACCCCGTGAGGTAGGTGGGGCTGAGAGATCTGAGAACTGTCTTTAAGAGAACAGCTCTGAAAGAACTTATGACTGACCCAAGGTCATATCAGCAGCTGCATGTGGAGGAGTGGGGGAATCAAACCTGGTTCTCTCAGATTAGAGTCTGTGGTCCTAGCCACTATACCAAACTGGCTTTCATGAGGTGATATGAGGGACCAAGATCATGAAGAAGAACAAAAAATTGGCTTACTGGATGAGACCAAAAATCCAATAGAATCTAGTCTAAACCCCTGCACCATGCAGGAAATTCACAAATATCCCCCACACTCCCCCAGTGACCCCTGTTCCATGCCCAGAAGATGACCAAAAAACCCTCCAGGATCCCTGGCCAAACTGGCTTGGAGAAAAATTGCTTCTGGATCCCAAAGTGTCAACCAGCATTTCCCTGGGTCACAAGAACTAAGCACTGATGGAACTCTGCCTGCCCTCCTTCTCATGATCTGCCTAAATTCACAGAATCAGCATTGCTATCACTCAGATGGCCATCTAGTCTCTGTTTGAAAACCTCCAAAGAAGGAGAGCCCACCACCTCCCAAGGAAGCCTGTTCCACTGAGAAACCACTCTGTCAGGAGGTTCTTCCTAATGTTTAGCTGAAAAGGATAGCCAATCAGGTGCTACTAGAAAGAACACGGGCAGGGAATACTTCATGATGGCACCTGGAAGCAGCCGGAGATAACATTTCCGGGAAGACTGAAGGCGGGTTGAAAGAAGGATCACTGCTCATATGTTGGCCTCATGTAGACAGGCTCCACAGCTGTTCTACTGTTTCAAAAGCCTACAAAGCCTATCCAACTAGAGATCACATCACATGAGGAGAAAAGAAATATTTGCAGACACATGAAAACTCTCTCGGATCACGTTCAGGTCTTTAAAAAAAAGCTATATCTTTAAAAAAATGGCTCCATCCATTTCTTACAGCAATGCCCACCTGAAGATCTACTTCTATTCCAACAAGGCATTGTCAGAATGTAATCAGAGCACAACTGAGTTGCAGTCGCTTGGATGAATTTCACTTAAGGTGACATCTCATTGCAGGAGATCACCAAGGTGGGTCAAGCTGATAGCCAGTGCTTTCTTAAGGGAAGCAAAAATCACGATTGTCTTGAAGGGAGCTGTCATGAGGTCCCCTCTTGAAGAAGAAATCCTTGAACCTGGTGCCTGGAGGTGGGAGAACCCTTGGATTTATCGGGTGGCTACTGCAAGGAGGGGGAAAAGCCACTACTGGAATATTTTCTGGTCGTTGATTACGTATGTTGGTGATATGTTAAGTGAAGGGTTTACATTTACCTGTTGTAACCCTCCTTAACACAAGGGATAGTGAATTCTCTGTGTAAAATGACGACCAATGGCACAAGGAACTTTTCCAAGGGATCCATTCAGGTATCAGTGGGTTGCATCCACACTAAATTTTCCATCAGCAGAACAAATTTTTCCTGTCTCCCTGCCCACTGCAGTCTACTGATCTCCATCAAATGCTGCTCCTGGGGGACAGGGGACCCTGTGGAATGATGTGGGGGGGGGGGTCTGCTCTGCAGCAGGAAGGAGGAATTGGTGGAAACTGCCAATTTAGTCCTGATCCAACCCAAAGTGTATGATAGCATTTTATTGTAACAACTCAACTGAGGAAGAAGACAACCACTACTCATGGGAATGATTTTCCTTAGGTATCTTCTAATGGTGGTGGCCAGTAGGGATGTATACAACTTTTCAGTTCACTTTCCTTTAAAAAAAAAAAAACTGAGTCATTTTCATTAAATTAATTTTTGTACCTAATATTTTAGATATTTAATTTAATTTCATTTTCATTTTAATTTAATTTCATTTTCATCCCATTATCTAATTCTCTGGGAGTTGAATCTTTCACCCAAAGATTCCTCCCTGTCAACATTCAGACAGGAGAAGCCTATAATCGGAGGAAGTAAAGGCTCAGTTGCAGAGTGGACCAAGGGTTTTCGAGGCAAGAGATGAACAGTGGTGGTTTGACTCTGGATTTCCTTGGTGGTCTCCCGTCCAAATACTAACCAGGGCCAACTCCACGTAGCTTTTCAGATGTGATGAGAGACTGGGATAGCCTGAACCATTCAGGTCAGGGTGAACACAGATAATAAATGACAAGAAAAAGGGGGATCCTTGTGTGGTTACACCCATCTGCCTATCCCTGGTCCCGGTCACACGGCAAAGTTGCCCCAGGAGAGGCACGGATGGTGGGCGGATTATCCGGGTGCGATCACACCCCAACATCTGGGAAGTGGAGCGCATCCGTGGCTTACCGCCGACAATGCGCGTTAAAAAACTAGTACCTCCAAGGTACTAGTAAACGTTTTCCACGGGCTGCATCTGATCGCGTAATCTCAGATCAAACTGCACCAGGGCAATTAGCCACGCCTCCCCACCGCGATATCCGGCCCGTGTGACGGGGGCCCCTGTATCTTTTTAAAAAAAACTATGTTCTATTTTCCTCCCTTTTATCTTTTGAATTGGTAGATCCTGTGGGTTTTTTTACCCCACTTTATTGAAGTTCGCATTGATCTCTTCCCTACTTTCCCCCTTTCTGTTTGTCTCTTTTCTAGCCAGTGAGCTGCACAGCTGGAACTTACTTTTTAAACTTGCATGTGGTGTCCAAAAGCCTCAGGCACAATAAAAAATTTAAGCACGCAAAAATAATCACAACATGCATACTGACTAAGAAGGCAGTTTAAGAAGATGGGGGGAGGGGGATTCATACATCTAACAGCTGCTGAAGACAGATGTTGGTCAGTTTCCTCCACGCGCAGAAGGTCTCTGGACCCAGGAGGCCAACCTCACATGCTAACCCTCTGCAGGGAATATCCCTTTCAACCTCAGCCAGGACAAGCAGTGGACAGAATCCTTCCCTGTCAGTTGTTCCCTCAGGTAAGCAAACAGCGCAACCCTAGCTCTTGACTCATGAGTAGGCCACTGCTTCTGCTTAGGGGTGCAAGCTCTGTTTCGGCAGCAAAACACAAAGACATGCAAAAGGGCAGGAAAGGATAAGCTTTCTCCTCCAGTTTCTGGAAATGATCCATAGGATGACTGAACTCACCCTATTGGTTTCAGGAAGGGAAACTGGAAGGGAGAGTGCATTGTGCATTCTCTGTTTCTTCCAAGGACTTCTGTGTAAATCAAAACCTTGCAACACTTTTGCCAACGGAAACTAGTTCAGTGGAAGATTTGTACCCCTTTGTCGGACATATTCAAAATACTGGGCCACAAAGAAGCTTGAGAGCAGACTGTTTATTGTCTGTTTATTGTCAGTGGAACAGCGGATGCGTTTTCATCACACGTGACCTGGTTGTTCACCAAGGAACAGTGTTCCCTTCCCAGTCAAGAAAAGATCCCGAATCTCTCTCTGTGACAGCAGAAAGCACTTTAACAATCCCCGTGGTGCTATCCTTCACCGTAGTTGGAACCTATAAAAATAGTGAGGGAGATCAGTTAGAAATGCCATAGATTTTGTCTGATGCCCACAGATCGAAGATATCCCCAAGAGAGCAATCCTAAACTGGTCTACTCAGAATCCTACTCAGATCTATTTAATTGGTTTACTCCCAGGAAATCATTCTTGGGATTGCCCTTAAAGTATATTGCTCTCACAGAAAAGGGCTCTGTCTCTGTCTGCCACTGTTAAAATGTGAGAGAGCCGAAGTGAAGCCAGAGCTAATAGCTAACTTTCTTCTTATTTTTTTTGGTATTTGTGTGTCTGCAACTGGAAGTCATGTTGACCTTTGGTGACTGACCCTTACTGGGGGCCTGGAGGATCATAGAATCATAGAATGTTAGAGTTGGAGGGGACCTTGCAGGTAATCTAGTCCAACCCCTTGCACTCTGCAGGAGCATAGCCGAAAGATAGCCCTACATACCTACAACATACCCAAAAGATGGTCATCCAGGCTCCGCTTGAAAATGTCCAGCGAAGGAGCATCCACCACCTCCTGAGGTAGACTGTTCCACTGCTCAATCACTCTTACAGTTAGGAAGTTTCTCCTGATATTTAGCCGTTAACGACTCTCTTGTAATTTCCACCCATTAGATCTAGTCTTGCAATCCGGAGCAAGAGAGAATAGATCTGCTCCATCTTCTACATGACAGCCCTTCAGATACTTGAAGACTGCAATGTCCCCTCTAAGCCTTCTCTTTCCCAGGCTAAACAAACACAACTCTTTCAGCCTTTCCTCGTAAGACTTGGATTCCAACCCTCTCACCATCCTGGTTGCCCTCTTCTGGACACGCTCGAGCTTGTCCACATCCTTCCTAAAATGTGGTGCCCAAAACTGGACACAGTACTCCAGGTGGGGCCTGACCATAGCAGACCAGAGCGGAACTACCACCTCCCTTGATCTGGACACTTCCTGTGATCTGGACACAATATTCAGAGAGGTGGCTGAATAAAGCCTGCCCCTGTCCTCCTGACTTGGTATTCCAAGGAAGTCTCCCATCCAAGTACTAACCACAGTTGACCCTGCTTAGCTTCCAAGATCTGACAAGATCGGGCTTGCCTGGGCTATCCAGGTCAGGGCACGACAAAATTTATTCTGACAAATAATCAGTGAAGAGCAGAATTAAAACTGAATCAGAAACAAGGCAGTAAACCGATCAGTCCGTCAGTTTCACGGAGATCAAAGAACTTCCATATCTAGAGGCAGTCAACCTCTGAATACCGATGCCAGGAAGCAACCTCTGGGGAAGGCCTCAGCCTCTATGCCCTGTTGCTGGCCCTCCAGTGTAACTGGAAGCTGGACTACATGGACCACAGATCTGATCCAGTACGGCTCTTCTTATATTCTTATCCTAAGCAGAGTTATCCTGACATGGATAGCCCAGGCTAGCCTGGTCTCCTCAGATCTCAGAAGCTAAGTAGGTTCAGCTCTGGACACTATTTGGATGGAAGACCACCAAGGAATACCAGGGTCACAATGCTGAGGCTGGCAATGGCAAACTATCTCTGAACGTATCTTGCCTTAAAAAAAACCCTATGGGGTCACCGTAAGTCAGTTGTGACTTGACAGCAAAGAAGAAGAAGAGTTACCACATTCTGAGCCTAGTGAAGTTGGATATTGCAACTGCTCTGAAATGCTGTGACCAGAATTCTAACTGATTCAGGCTGCAGGGAGGGACTACACAACACAGATCCTAAAGATTTGTCTATTCCAGGTGCTGTATTTTGGCTTTTCAAATATTGCACAGCTTCTAGGCCACTGCTTAGCTGAAGGCATACCTGCTCTCTTATCTCTAAACACTCTTACCATGAAATCATCTGAACAAGTTCTTCTACAAATGTTTCACTGTGCGGTCTAGCTCAAAGCCTTCTCAGTGGTGGTATTCCAGTTACGTGCGTGGCTGTGGCTTTGTGATAGAACACTTGCGTTAGATATATCCAGAGTGGGAAATCACCCAGAGAGTCAGCTGGGCCTTAAGATGACCAAAGAATAAAAGGATTGCTAAAGGAAGATGGAGAGATGGCAGAAAATCTTTGCATCTGTGTTCACTGTAGAAATTGTGGAGCATGTGCCCAGGCCAGAGCAACTATTTTCAGGGAGGGAGTGTGAAGAATTGAGTCAAATTAAGTGGTAAGATATGAAGTTCTAGACCTGTAGGGAAATTTAAAATTAGAAACCGGTAAGTCTCCGGGTCCTGACAACATACTCCTGATGGTTCTTAGGGAACTCAAATGTGAGACTGTTGATCTAGTAACCAGTATATGTAACATGTTAGTAAAACCAGCCACTGTATCAGAGGATTTGGAGAGTAACAAATGTTACACTCATTTTCAAAAAGGGGTCTAGAGGGGAAATAACAGACCAGTTGGCCTAATGTCTGTCCCAGGCAAACTGGTAGAAACTGTGATCAAAGAAAGAATGATTAGATGGCCTGTCTGGCCCCTTCCAACTCTGTGATTCTGTGATTCTATTCTATGATCAACCTCTTGGAGTTCTTTGAGAAAGTGAACAAACATTTATATAATACTGACAAAGTAGACATTATATATTTGGGCTTTCAACGGGCTTTTGAAAAGTTCCTCACCAAAGACTCCTGAGTAAACTTACCAGGTCCTTTTATGGATAAAACACTGGTTAAACAAAGGGAAGCAGAGAGTAGGAATAAATGGGCCGTTCTCTCAATGGAGGGAAGTAAGCACTGGGATCCCACAAGGATCAGTACTGAAGCCAGTGCTATTTAATTTGTTCATAAATGGTTTGGAACTGGGGATGAGCAAGTTTGCAGATGACATAAAATTAGGGTGGTAAAAACTAAGCTTGACAGTGAAGAGCTCCAGGAGGATTTCCACAAATTGGTTGAGCAGGCAACAATGTGGCAAACGAAGTTCAATGTAAGTAAGGGTAAGGTGCTCTACATTGGAACACCCCCCCCCATTTTAACTACATGTGAACCTGTTCATAGTGAATAGCTCGATGAAAATGTTGACTCAGTGTACTGCAGCAGTGAAAAAGTCAAGTTCTGTGTTGACAATTATTAGGAAAGTAACTGAAAATAAAACAGTCAATATTATAGTGCCCCAGTATAGATTGATGGCGTGCACTCATTTGGAATATTGTGTGTTGTTCTGGTGACCATATCTCAAAAAGAATGTTGTAGATCTGGCAAAAGTGCTGAGGAGGGCAACCATCTCGATGCTTGGGGATCCAACACTTTCTTATGAGGAAAGACTGAAGAGTCTGGGACCTTTCAGTTTAGAAAAGAGTCAGCTAAGTGGATATATGATAGAGGATTTATAAAATTATGCACAGGATAGACAGAGTAGATGGAAAAATTTTCTCTGTTGCCCAAAACAGCAGAACTTGAGGGCATCCAATGAAGCTGATGGACAGTAGATTCAGGACAGACAAAAGAAAATACTTATTTACTCAAGAAGTCATTAAAATTTGGTGTTTGCTGCCAGAGGATGTAGTGATGGCCTCAGACATAGCGTTGAATCCACATGTGTGTTTCTTGCTGGTTTCCTGACATTTTCGCTCCCATCCCCCAACAAACTGTCTACATTTGTATCTGGTTTCATGCTGGCAGTGCGCCAATATAAAAATCAGTGTCTGCATATGTTTCCTGCCCTCTGGTAGTGACTCCATTGTCAAAGCTGCTCCGCACTGGTTTAAATGAATGCTGTTCTTTGCTGCTGTAGCCCCTCCTTTCTGGTTTTGTTGCGCTGTCAACCTAATGCAGACATTTTTGAGCCGTTGCTCCGCTAATTCTTAAATAATTCCCACAGGTGGTGCACAAAAAAGTAGGTGGTAACTCGTGGTTCGATTTTTATCTTGTTTTGAAGCTTTTATTTCTTGACCCCTTTTACAGATCAACTGAACACTTTTAAGTTCACTTGCATTTATCTCAAAATGTATAAATCCAGAAATGGCGTCAACATGGCAAATGGGGTACAATGTGGCCAAGTGCAAGGTGATGCACATTGGAGCCAAAAATCCTAAATATAAATACACGTTGATGGGGTCTGAACTGGCAGAGACTGATCAAGAGAGAGATCTTGGAGTTGTAGTAGATAACTCACTGAAAATGTCGAGACAGTGTGTGACTGCAATAAAGAAGGCAAATGCTATGCTGGGGATTATTAGGAAGGGTATTGTAAACAGATCAGCCAATATCATAATGCCCCTATATAAATCAATGGTGAGACCTCATTTGGAATACTGTGTGCAGTTCTGGGCACCACACCTTAAAAAGGATATTATAGCTTTGGAAAAAGTGCAGAAAAGGGCAACTCGAATGATAAAAGGGTTGGAACACTTTCCCTATGAGGAAAGGTTAAGGCGCTTAGGGCTCTTTAGCTTGGAGAAACGACGACTGAGGGGTGACATGATTGAGGTTTATAAGATTATGCATGGGAAAGAGCAGGTAGAGAAAGAGGTACTTTTCTCCCTTTCTCACAATACAAGAACTCGTGGGCACTCAATGAAATTGCTGAGCGGTAGGGTTGGAATGGATAAAAGGAAGTACTTCTTCACCCAAAGAGTGATTAACACTTGGAATTCACTGCCACAGGAAGTGGTGGTGGCTACAAGCATGGATGGCTTCAAAAGGGAATTAGATAAGCATATGGAGCAGAGGTCCATCAGTGGCTATTAGCCACAAGGTATAGATAGGGACTCTGGGGCAAGTGATGCTCTGTCGGTGCTTGGGGGGGTCAACAGTGGGAGGGTTCTAATGTCCTGGCCCCACTGGTGGACCTCCTGATGGCACTGGTATTTCTGGCCACTGTGTGACACTGAATGAGCCTTTGGCCTGATCCAACATTGGCATCTCTTATGTTCTTATGTTCTTAATTTTATTCCCGCTTGGCTCTATTTCCTCATAGCTATGTACCAGCCCTCAAATCTTATCTTCCAAAACTTATCTATCCGCTTTCCATTTATTTTCTTGACCCCCCGCTTTATGGAACTGGAATGAAAGGCCCCAGAGTGGAATGACAGCCCCTGGGGGTAGCAGGAGTGTTCAGGGACTGGAATGAGAGACCATGGAGTGGAATGACAGCCCCTGGGGGTAGCAGGAGTGTTCTGGAACTGGAATGAAAGACCACAGAATGGAATGACAGCCCCTGAAAAAAAGACAAAGTGAACAGCTTCCCTAATGCTAAGTTGAAGGCAGAGGCGCAGCAGTTCTAAACCACATGGGATAACAGCGGCACCCAGCTGATTCTAAAATGCATATGCAGATTCAGCCATAGATAACTTTAAAGGAGGATTAGATACATTCATGGAAGTTAGGCCTGTCAGTGGCTACCAGTCAGGTGTCTAATGGAATCTCCACGTTCAGAGGCAATCAGCCTCTGAATACCACTGCCAGGAGGCAACATCAAGGGAAGGCCTTGACGTCTATGCTGTGTTGTTGGCCAGTGGCCATCCAGAGTAACTGGTAGGCATACTGTGTGAGATAGAATGCTGGACTAGATGGACCATGGTTGTAATCCAGCAGGGCTCTTCTTATGTTCTTATTCACCTAGAAGCTTCAGTCCCTGGCATCTCCCACTTGCATGACCACAGGTGGTGAGAAGACCCTTCTCTGCCTGAGACACTGGAGAGCCAGTCAGAGTAACATGATTGATGGAGCAAATTGCCTGACTCAAGGTGCTTGATGTTTTCACGTGATCTCACTTGCTTAGAGACACACATGGCATCCTCCCTTCTGGCCTCTAGGGGGCAGGTAAGAATCATCTTATTTCAGGAGACTTTTAACAGAGTTTGTCTATATGTTGGTTAAGTACATCCTAAATATTATCACCCCCCTCATGGAGGGGAGGGGTGCTTACGTATGGGGAGGGGGCTTACGTAGTTCGATGAAGCTGTGGGCTATGCCGTGAAGGGCCACCCAAGACAGACAGGCCACAGCAGAGAACTCAGGCCAAGAGTGATCCCCTGGAGAAGGTAATGGCAACCCACTCCAGTATCTTTGCCAAGAAAACCCCATGGACAGTATCAAAAGGCTAAAAGATATGACACCGAAAGATGAGCCCCTCAGGTCGGAAGGTGTCCAATATGCTGCTGAGGAAGAGCAGAGAGCAAGTACAAGTAACCCCAGAAAGAGTGAAGCGGCTGGGACAAAGCCGAAAGGATGTGGATGTGTCTGATGGTGAAAGGAAAGTCCGATGCTGCAAAGAACAATACTGCATAGGAACCTGGAATGTAAAATCCATGAATCAAGGCAAGCTTGATGTGGTCAAAAATGAGATGGCAAGACTGAACATCGATATCTTAGGAATCAGTGAACTAAAGTGGACAGGAATGGGCGAATATAACTCAGAAGACCATTATATCTACTACTGTGGCCAGGAATCTCGTAGAAAAAATGGTGTGGCCTTTATAGTCAACAAGAGAGTGTAAAAGTCAGTACTGGGAGACAATCTCAAAAATGACAGAATGATTTCGGTCCGATTCCAAGGCAAACCATTCAACATCCAAGTCTATGCCCCAACCACTGATGCAGAAGAGGCTGAAGTGGACCGGTTCTATGAAGACCTACAACACCTCCTAGAACTGACACCAAAAAATGATGTCATCATCATCATAGGGGACTGGAATGCTAAAGTAGGAAGTGAAAAGGTAACTGGAATAACAGACAAGTTTGGCCTTGGAAAGCAAAATGAAGCAGGGCAAAGGTTAACAGAGTTTTGT